TTCCACAAAGTGGAAGCAGGACTGTTTTAGGTAACCTAGTTCCGATCCCAGCTCCCCGGTTCCAGGGATTCCCCCATGTCCACCTCTCTCCCGAGGCCTGCCCACCCCCGGCTTTTCCACATTAGGCCGCGTGGCCCCCAGTCGCGCTGGGCCTGTGAAGTCGCGATCGCCGGGTGTCCCAGGCGGGCCTAGGAGGGAGGCCGGCGCCGGCGCGGAATTTCTTTATCGGGATTTGAGAGCCGCCGGCTTCTCCCTCGGCTGTTTCAGCGATCCCAGAAAGACACCTTTCGATCTTTTGTCAGACATCTTGGCCCTTAATAGCTGAATTTATTTGGTTTAAAGTAGCCATGGGAGACGTGGGGAGGGAAGATCTTTCGTCGGTCATTGGGTGGCCCAGATAACAAGCTTTAAGAGAGAGAGAGGGAAGAAAGTAAAAAGGTTAATGGATGAGGGTGGGCCCGGCGCCCAGAGTGGGGCTTTTACGGCGACCCTCCCCCGGCCACCCCCTTATCGCCCCCGAACTCACCACCGCGTAAGAACTACATTAAGTCGCATAAACAGCGCGGGTAGGAATGGCACCGTGGTGACCTTTCGTGGCCGCGGCCGCAAGCCCACCTCTGCGCCGTACTGGCGGCCGCCGGGGTCACCCGGAGCTGTGCGCGTGAGGGGTCGCCGGACCCGGTCCCGCGTGTCGCCGCCTCGAGTCCCACCACCCCGGACCCGCAGCGGGTTCCCCAACCCCAGGGGCCAGCGTCGAAGGGGGCCGGGACCGAAATTGGGGCGACCTTGGAGTTTCCGCCTGGACCTGACATGTGTGGAGCATTAAAAAATTTCAGCAACTACTCAAAGGAAGGGAAGGGGAAAAGAGATAGGAAGGAGAAGGCAGCGAGGGAGAAAGGAGGAAGGAAAGAAGGGAGGGAGGGAGGAAGGGAGGGAGGAAAGGAGGAAGGAAGGGAGGGAGGAAAGGAGGAAGAAAAAGAAAAGAAAACCACAAGTCAAACCAGCTCACAGCTGCTGAGTCTGAAACAGACAGCCCAGGCCAGTCCCCAGAACTGGGACACTGTGGGAATGGGGTGTGTGTGTGTGTCAAAGCGAACTGTGTCATTGGGTGAAAGAGTCCCCAGGACGGGAAGTGTGGCATAAAGAGAAGCCCGCATAAATGTATGTTTTTCCTTATCTCTGGAGAGCTTGGGAATCGAACCCAGAGCCTGGCGCGTTCTAGGTAAGTGATTTACCACCGAGTTACAGCCCCAGCCCCTTTAAAAAAAAATCTAAATCAAAAACCGTGCTTAAACCAGGACTTTTTCTGTCTCTCTGAAAAGTATCTGGAGCAAGGTAGGAGCTTTGTGAGATGACAAGTTTGCGGGAGTAAAGGCGTCTGAGGACGCCGGGTCGCGGCCCGGGTCTGGATCTTTCCCCGGAAGCGGCGCGCCACAGAGTCCCTAGCACTTAGGGTTTGAACTGCGGAGCCCCCGCCCCCTGCCCAATTGGCTGCTGTGTTCCGGCTGGACGCGAATAGTGCAGAATAGTGGAGTTGCACGGCCCAAATAAATCAGCCCCGGGGACAAGCCGCGCCCCAGAGCCAGCCCTCTTCCTGGGTGAGAAAGGAGGTTCCATCCCGAGGGGGCCGGCCTTGGGTCCAAATAGTTCCGAGAGAAACGATTTTCGTTCAAGATTAGCAAGGCCCCAAAGAGAGGACAGGAGGGGGCCGAGAAAAGGAAATGGACAAGAAAAACAACAAACAAACAAAAGAAAAATACTAGGGAAAAGACTTTTGAACGCATCTATCAGGGAATGATGGGGGCCTCCTCCAGCTTGGGCTTTCCCGAGTTTGGTGTGCTTCCCTTCCCTGGGCAGTTCTGGGTTCGGCAGACTTCCCAGTCCAACTGAGGAAGTTCAGCGCTGGGCCTGGGGCCGGTGGGTGGGGGTGACTTTGAAAATGTGCCGTTGCCTTGGGGAGTTGTTGCCAGAGTCCTGGCGGGGGGCGGGGGGAGGGAACTTCAGGCAGCCTAGGTTCTGTCCGAATCAACCATACAGGTTAAACAGTTTTTGTTTTATTTTTACACTGACATGAAAAAAATATTTCTCTAACCTATTCCCTCGTTTGGTTGGAAACACTCTATTTTTTTAAAGGTGAAATGTGTGGTCCTGAAAAGTAACTATCTATTTTCTTCCATTGTTTTGGGGTACTATTAAAGTGATTGGGAAGGTGGAGGGTAAAATTCTGGGTCCTTTCTGGAGCCCCTAGAACCTGACCATTGTCGAATCTGTCATTATCCGTCGGACACTCACCTCTGTCCCAGAGGCGCCCAGGCCAGTACACTCTCCAGGCATGGTTGCCAAGCTTTGGGAAAAGCAGGTGGTGGTGTGGGGGTTGCTATTGTCCCCAAACCCACGCAGAATACCCCGGGACTTGCAGATATAAAGAAACACATAAGAGAGGAATCAGGCTCCCGCCGGGGTTCGATTTCCTTGAAGCTTGGACGCCAAACTTAGTCAAGTCATTATTATTTTAGCAAGCACGAACTTTCAAAAAATTGCCTTTAATAGCAAATTTGAGAAACATTATTTCGAAACAATTGGACTCAGAGGAAATATTATGTCCAGAGTATTAATGGAACTGCTTACAAATGAACTTTGCAGAACCCAGTCCGCTTTAAAAAAAAAAAAAAATTGATCGGAACTCACCGAATAACCCAAGGCAAGGCAATGGAAGCCGTGGTGGGAACTGGGCCGGCCCACAACGGTCTCTTCGGCTAAGTCCGATCGAACTCAGGTTAAAATTTAAAGCCTCTGGATCCTGCTCCAGTCGCCAGTCTCTCCACTCCAGAGTTTTCTACCTTCAGCCTTTTGGAAAGGCGGCCACGCTGAAACTGGGAGCCGCCACAGTGATTGGGGGAGGCAAAAAGGAATGTAATAAAAGTGACTAAATTGGACAAGAACGGTTTATGGACCTTCTCAGTAGCAATTTAAAATTCAGAAGTGTTTAGCAGCAATTTACAACGAAGAATGAAAACAGGAGAATTCTCATTCATTTCCTGGATTCGGAGCCCCACTCCCCAGCACCCACAAGCCCTTCCCCTCCCTCTCCCCCACTGCACCCCTCATTTACAGGTTCCCAGCTCACAGGTATATTTCGAGGAAACAGGTCCTTTGGGAGGAGGTCTCACAGTCTCTCTAAATCGCATTTTACAACGCACCTATCCTTGCTTGTTCGACTGTGCTTGAATGCCCCTTTCCTCCTCCAACTGAAAAAACAACAAAACACATATCAAACGAAACAAACAAACAATAAAAAACAAAACAAAATCCAGTGCTCAAATGTTTTCAGGGAGACTGGCCTTTAAAAGAAAATCATTTACTTTGGTTTACCTGGGGAGAAAAAGTGTAAAAATCCATTCCCACAAGACAGTCCTAGATAAATTTCCTCTCTGCAGCCTTCCGGGGGTCCTGCCTGTCGGAAGAAATCCTTTTTGTGAGTCTAAAGGAGCGAGACATATTTCACCGCTGCTGCCCAGGACAAGCCGCGCGACTCGCTGCTGACAGATCGGCCCTGATAACCCTGCGACGTTCATTTCCAGTCCCTTGGCCCGCTGAGGACTGTATCAGTTTGTACACAGTTGTGATAAGCGTTCGGAGGGAGCGATGAAGGGGTGTGTGCATGGGAGAGGGGGTGTGGGGAAGCGGTTCTTTTGCTCTGGGTCCAGGGAAGGTACCCCGCTCTTTCCAAAGATTTATCTTCGACGTACCTTAAGTCCAGGGAAAGCTCAAAGCAAATGCGACAACCAAATTTTGAGAGCGTCCCTGGACACTTGTGTTTTTCATCCTGTGGCTATGCTGAGCCGCTCAAAGACTTAACTTTTCCGTATACGACGACCCCGAGTCAAAAGTTCCCAAAGGTTAGCTGGGGAATGCCGTCCTGAACTCTAGGAAACTTTCCAAGAATTTAGTATATATTTTAAGAGGAGGAGCGAGGTAGGGAGTAGGCAGCAGGGCTCCTTCCCCAGATGGTAGGAGCCTGGGTTCCAGACGGCCACTGCGACCTGAGCATCCCGAAATAGGGTAGAGGAGAGTTTAAGGTCAGTCACACAAGACTGCAGGGCTAGAAGCTCATTTAATAAGGAGGGAGGAGCTGGGAGAGCCAGCTGGGCAATGCACTTTCGCTCTACACTTTGGGGGCGCCCTGACCTAGGAGCTGGTGGGCCCCTCCCTTTGTGGCCGCGGTGCCGGGCTATGGAAAACCAGCTCCTCGGTGCCAAGCAAGCCTCCCTCCTCCCCCCTGTGCTTGTGTGTGTGTGTGTGTGTGTGTGTGTGTGTGGTGACTAGGGAACCCTAGGGAGTGCTTCTCTGCTGGATGGGTGTGAGTCGCTGTCCAGGTCCGGCAGGCGGTTGCCGACGCGAGGCCCTCCCCTGGCGTCCCTGAGCTGGGCGCCCCTTGAGGGGACTCGCCCCTATCCGCGGACAGAGCCTGCAGCTCAGCCCACGCCCGCAGGCTGAGCCGCACTTATTGTGCTTATTGTCTGCCCGGGAGGCGCGGTCCCCTCCCCCTCCCCGTCCCCTCCCCATCCTCTTTTCTCTCCTCCCTCGATCCCTCCTCCTCCTCCTCCTCCTCTTCACCTCCGCGCCCTGCAGCCCGCAGAGCGCAGTTCCGACCCACAGCCTGGCACCCTTCGGCGAGCGCTGTTTGTTTAGGGCTCGATGAGTCCAATCAGGAGCGCTGGCTGCAGTTTTCCGGCAGAGCAGTAAGAGGCGCCTCCTCTCTCCTTTTTATTCTCCAGCTGCGCGGCGCAGACCCTGGACTCGCGCTCTCCCGCCGGCGCCCTCGGCTGGTCTCCGCGCCCGGGAGCACCCTCCACCGCGGCGGGTCTTCTTGCGCAGCGTTCGCCCGAGGTTCGGCCGCTTCCTTCTTTGTCTGCTCTCCCCTCACTCCTCCCTTCCACCCCTACCAGTGGCAGGCCCCATGGCCTCCAGCTCTCTGGCCTTTTCCCGGCCGCGATCGGCTCTGAGGGTGGCTCCCTCCTCCCCTCCCGGAGGGCTGCTGCAGCTCCCTGGTTCCCGGGATACCACGGACCGACTTCTGGTGTTTTTTCCTCTCCCCCAAGTGCTTATCTGCCCGCAGCCTTATCTCCGAGTTATCTCAGCGCAAAGGGGCGGGAGCCGGTAGTCGCGGGCAGAGAAACTTCTTTCTTGCTATCTAGCCCCGGTCTGTGTGTGGGCATTCATTTTAGTGTGGTTATCTCCGATGAGCCGAAGCGCTTAGGAAAAGGAGCCCCGAGGAGGCCCGGCCGGCTCCCCACCCCCTGAGTCTCCCTGTCATTCTTCCTGCTCTCCCCTTTGGGGTGGCCTCGGCTCTGGGGCGGGCTCACCCCCTCCCCCCTCGTTTTCCCCTCCATTTCTCTGCTCTCTGCTCCACCCCGCTACGTCCGATTCCGGAACGATCTGGCTTTTCCTCGACTGGGGGATGGCCGTGGGGTGTGCCGGGGTGGCGGGGCCGGCGTGAGCGCGCGTGCTGGTGGCTGTGTACGCGGGCTGTGCTGTGCCTAAGGTGTGCTGTCAGCCGGGACGCGGGTGGGCGTGGGGCTTCTGTCCGGGGGACTTCCCGCACTACTGTATAGGGAAGAACTCCATCTCAGCCCTGGCATCCCACTTTCTCCAGGCTGAGTGACTTTTCTCTGGGACTCGCGTTTGATCTGCTCAGCGCAGTCCGGAAAGCTTTGCGAAAAGGCGGTGGTTTCGTTTTCGGGGACAGGTTGCCTTTGCTCTCTGTTTAAACGCTCGGAACCCTCACACCCTGGCATCCCAGGAGAGAGGCATCTAAGGGAAGGTTGGATGCGACAGCATGGACACACGTTCAATTCTTTTGTGTGTCATCCACCCAGAGGTAGCCGCTCTGGGACGGAAGGCCAGCGGTCACTCCTGGGATTTGGCGCGCGCGTGGAGAAAGGATGCTCCCGAGGGGTGGGCTACTAGGACGCAGGAACACGCGTCCTGTTGGTCACGGCACTCAGGTTCTCCATGACCCTGAGGCTGCCCTGCAGGTTTCAATTCCTTTTTCCTAATGTCCCAAGCCCTGGGCAGAAGCGGGATCTTTGAGGAATCCCAGAAACTAAACAGGGAGTGGAAGTGTTGATAGACTGACTATGCATTTGGTAAGGTCTCGTTATCTGTCTTCCTGTCCTGTTCCCCAATCCCAGGAGCCAAAAAGTCAGCTTGGAGAGGCGCCGGACGGTGGATGGCCTTGACTGACGGCGGCTGGTGCCTGCCTAAGCGTTTCGGGACCGCGGCTGCGGACGCGGGGGACTCCGGGGCCTTTGCAGCGCGAGAGTCCTCCTCGCCGCCTTCCCCCATCTCTTCCTCGTCCTCCTCCTGCTCCCGGGGCGGGGACCGCGGTCCCTGCGGCGCCAGCAACTGCAGGACGCGGCAGCTCGACGCCGAGGCGGTGGCGGGACCCCCGGCCCGCTCTCTGTTGCTCAGCCCTTACGCCTCACATCCTTTCGCGGCTCCCCACGGACCTTCGGCGCCCGGGGTCGCTGGCCCCGGGAGCGCCCTGTCTAGTTGGGAAGACCTGCTACTCTTCACTGACCTGGACCAGGCCGCGACCACCAGCAAGCTGCTGTGGTCCAGCCGGGGCGCCAAGCTGAGCCCCTTCGCACCGGAGCAGTCGGAGGAGATGTACCAGACCCTCGCTGCCCTCTCCAGCCAGGGACCGGCCGCTTACGACGGCGCGCCCGGCGGCTTCGTGCACTCTGCGGCGGCTGCTGCTGCTGCGGCGGCGGCAGCCAGCTCCCCGGTCTACGTCCCCACCACCCGAGTGAGTTCCATGTTCCCCGGCCTGCCGTATCTGCAGGGGGCCGGCAGCGGGCCCAGCAACCACGCGGGCGGCGTGGGCACGCACACCGGCTGGCCGCAGGCCTCGGCCGACAGTCCGCCCTACGGCAGCGGAGGCGCAGCGGGCGGCGGCGGGGCGGCGGGCCCCGGCGGTGCAGGCTCAGCTGCGGCGCACACCTCGGCTCGCTTCCCCTACTCGCCCAGCCCGCCCATGGCCAACGGCGCGGCGCGGGACCCCGGGGGCTACGCGGCTGCGGGTGGCACCGGAGCCGGCAGCGTGAGCGGCGGTGGCGGCAGCCTGGCGGCCATGGGCAGCCGGGAGCATCAGTACAGCTCTCTGTCCGCCGCTCGGCCGCTGAACGGGACGTACCACCACCACCATCACCATCACCCTACCTACTCGCCCTATATGGGCGCGCCGCTGACACCCGCCTGGCCAGCTGGACCCTTCGAAACGCCGGTGCTGCACAGCTTACAGAGTCGCGCCGGAGCCCCGATCCCGGTGCCGCGGGGCCCCAGCGCAGGTAAGGGTTGCGCCGCAGAGTGGGCACGGGGCCTGGAGGCTCTGGGGTGCGAGCGGGTGTGGAGCAGCTGCCTGACTTGGGCCCTGGTCTCTGGCTTTATACTGTTCCGGGGTTGGAGGGCCAACTGGCCCCAGCAAAGACTTGCATGTTGGGGGCAGGATGATCAGACACTAGCAGTGCTGATGTTGGGATTCCCTTGATCTGACCCTTCATGGTTCCTTTCCGGGAAAGAGTAAATGCACATCTGTACCACAGAAGAAGATTGGGCGGGGAGAGGTGTCTATGAATAATGAGGAAAAAGTGTCCTTTTGAGGAGGACCGGAGCATGAGGTCTCCTAGTACCTCCAGTATGGAGGGATAGATGATCCATGGTTGGGTAAATTTGGACACTTGATCACTTCGACACACAGGCACATTGTAGTCAGTCTCATCTAACTTCATTCAGTCTTTTAATTTAGCTGCATCCCTTTCCCCATGTTTAAATAAGACATTCAAGAACCCAGGGTATAGGCATCTACTTGGCTTCCCTGTTCCCTCAAGCGGGAGGGGGAAAGAAAAGTTGAGAAGACACTAAGATTGCCTTGCCTGTGGCTTTATCCTGAGGAGCAGCTGGTTGGTGGACAGGACTTCAGGCTGGGCAGCAGCAGGGTGGGAGTCAGGGCTGTTCCTAGCCCTTGGCCAAGCTGGGACCCAGCTTCTTAAGTTTAGCCCCTCAAGTTTTCAGTGTCCAGCTCTATTCAACACTCTCCTTCCTGTGTCAGGGTAAAGTGGGAAAATAAAAGCATACTTGGAAAGACTTTATTTTGGAAAGTGTTGCTGTCATTAGCAGGGGAAGGTATGAGCTAGGGTTGGTTTCTTTCCTTAACCATAGTGTTCTGAGACCTTGGCTTATTCACCTGTTTGACAACTTTCCCTGCAAGGAAAGACAAAAGTTTCGTTGTTTACTTGAGGGCAGTTAGTCAGTCTTAGAGGTGGAAGGGAGGTACATTGGTCCAAACTGTCCTTTCCAAGAGTCTTTGAGCCCCAGGTCTAGGCCTCTCCTGGGAGCCTTCACCCTCCCTTTAGTAACTGTGAGTCCCTTTAGGGGCCTTGATTTGTTAGCATTGTACATCTTGTGTTCTGAAATCCTATGGAGGTGTCCAGTAGCCTGAAAGTGAAGGACCTGATTTGAGTAACTCCCCACTAGTGACACTGGGAAAGGACCATAGGTTGGTCAAAAGCCCTTCTTAATGGCTTCCAAGAGCTATAAGACTTAATTTTGCTAGAGCATCTTTACTATGGGCATGTGAGCGAGGCTGGGGGCCCTGTTGATGTGCTGTGTTGTGTTGGAACTTGATAGAGCAGTAGGCTGTCACTCTTCTTTACCACATAGATATCCACATTTGGTTCCCAAGGGTAGAGACTGGGAGACTAGGAATCATCAAAGGATGGGAAGGGGGTGGGGGCTGGGGTGTGAAGCTTTCTGTCTGGGAGTTGGTAGGAAATCCCAAAAGGTATGGGGGTGCAGGGCGCCTGCTTTGAGCAGGATCCTGCAGCTTTTCCTGTTTCTTGACACACCTCAGCATTATCTTCAGGTTCCAGTTCCCTAGGCTTGCAGCATGTCACATGAGACAGAATCTGTCTTCAGTTGGGTTTGAGAAATCCTTTTAGAGGACAGTGCAGTTACAGACACTTCTGATTTGAGCTTAACCTGTTTTTTTCTTTGCTTTTTTTTCATCCTCCGGCCACCACACTGCAGTTAGGGGGGAAAAAAAAATTCTGTAGACCTAAAGCATGTTAAAAAAATAGGGTAGGAAGTGAAGGGATTTGGGGACATTCAGATTTTGCAGTCTGTTAAAGAAAGAGGAAGCAACTAGACTAAGCCAGTATTTGGGGCGAGAGGATGATGACTCTAACTTTGTCCACACAGGTGTTTTAAGCCTTCCTGTTTCTACACACACACACACATACACACACACACACACACACACACACACACACACACACACACACACACAAATTTTTGAGTTGGTCTCCCTGTGTAGTCCTAGCTGGCCTCAAAATTGCAAAATTGCAACCATCTTCCTGCTACTTCTAATACTTTTTTGTTTTTTTAAATAAACCATTTTTGGAGGTAGACTCTTGAACTGGTTTGAGCAAACACCAAGGCTAGAAGTTTTCTGTACTTTAACAACCTGCCCAATAAAGAGGCTTCTAGAAACCTGCTCCCCATCTCTCTCTCTCCCTGACTAGTGGTGGATGGATGCAGGGTGGTTCACAATGAGATGAGTTTGGGTTCTCATAACCCTTGATTCCTTGGCCTTTGTATCTTAAGGTCCTACAGAACTATGCTCCATTCCTTGGTGCTGGGACAACACTTGATGGAGTCTGTCACTTCCTAGGAGCACCCCAAGGAGCCACGTAGGGGTGCAAGCCCCAGCACAATCAGATGTTGAAATTACAGCCTGTTTCTTTTTTTCTCTGTCTGGTTAGAGAATCGTTGCAGTTTGGCCTTGGGGAGGAAAGGCAGAAAAGGAACTTGAGAAGCTTTAGCTAAAATATTTTTTCTAGAACTTTAAATTTTGTTTTTGGGGTTCTAGAGGACTGATGAGCTCTACCTGGGGCATTTACTGTCTTCTCAAGGGGGCCTTTTATTGTTCCTAGCAGAGTGAAAGATGCCAGGCCCAGGGCTGGGTTTTCCTGGGAATGCCCTACTCCAGGAGAGGGGCTCTGATAGGTAACATTTTAAAGTCAACAACAAAGACAAATACCTTGTTTAACTTCAGTGTCCTTGAAGTCCTGAGCATTTTACTGATTACCGTAGTCAATAGTGGCTTTTAGGGCAGAGAAGAATAAATCTTTGTGATGTGTTGCAAGTTGCAGTATCCCCAGGATAACTTTGAACTCGCCTGTGTAGGATGCTGGTTTCTTTAAAACTAAGGAATAATTCAAGAAATGAAGGACACTTATTTTGTAGAGCAAAAATTAATGGGTAAAGCATTTTAATGTTAAAACCATATTTAAACATCTTTACTGCATTATTGGTGGTAGACACAAACTATTAACCACAGAGAAAAAGAAGGAATACAGAGATTTGCTGGCACACTTACCCTCAAATAAAATGTTGAAGTATAATGTTTATTTACTTTTAAAAGTGACTCAGAAATGCCTCTTGAAGAATGCCAAATTAGAACATTTAATTTAACCCTCTGTAACAGAAAGAGTCCTGAACAGCAGGAGTTATTTTTTAAAAACCTACATGTAATAAGTTCTATCTCATTTTAGAGAATCGATATTTAGTCTTTCAAATTTAACCTTGCAGAGAAATAGTGCTATAATCATTTCTGTTAATTAAAAAATTTTGGATTTGTTTTTAAGTAGTAACTTTAAGTTAGTTTCAAATTCCAAAAACTAACCACATAATTAAAGGTATATGAACTAAACACACCTAAATTAGACGTCATAAATTACAACTTCAATGCAGGAAAATTGGAGGGGGTTTTATAGATTGCTAGGTAGATCTCAGTAATTTTCTGAACTGGTAAGGTATCAACCTTTTAAAAAAATTACAGCTAGAAATCAGAAAATTATTTAGTGTTATTAGATCCTTGCGAGGTGAAAATAATGCAAATTCTCTGTGCTTAATAATGTGCCCCCCACCCCTCCTGGAGGGAAACCTACTTCATTTTCTTATTTCTAATTAAGTGGTAGAAATGCCCGAGGAGTAGTTTTAATTTTGCTTGTCTTTTTCTTTTTCTTTTTTAAAGAGAAAAGTTCCTTGTATAAAGAAGGAAATATGATAGAGATAGAATTTTTTTTTTTTTTTTTTAAATTACTTGAGCTGAAAGCAACTTGAGCAGCCTGGGAGAGCCCTGGGTATTCCTGGGTCGCAGCGGGAGTCAATCAGCACCAACGTTGTGTAGGGCTTGCTGCGATTTTGTAATTATGATGAACCCCAGTTGTAAAAAGCCTGGGGACAGCTGGAGAAGACCGCTTCGGGGACCCAAGCTAGTCCCCAACCTCCAACCCATCTCATCTCACTCTGAGGTCCTCCGTGAAAACTCAGCAGACTTTCCTGACTCCCTGGGGTTTCCAGTGGTGCCCGTGGGGGTGCCGGGGTGTGGGACCATGGTCCACAGGCTCGGGGTCTGGGAGAACCGAGGGCGCGGGCTGGGGTGCGGAGCTTGCCTCCCGCTGCTCATTGCGGACCTAGGGATATTGGGGTACGTGGGGCGTCGTGCCCGGCGCGGTCTCACCCGCCTCTGGTCCCTGCTTTCGCCGTAGACCTGCTGGAGGACCTGTCCGAGAGTCGCGAGTGCGTGAACTGCGGCTCCATCCAGACGCCGCTCTGGCGGCGGGACGGCACCGGACACTACCTGTGCAACGCGTGCGGCCTCTACAGCAAGATGAACGGCCTCAGCCGGCCCCTCATCAAGCCGCAGAAGCGCGTGGTGAGTATGACGTCGCACACGCCGCGGGGACAGGTGCGGCGCAGTGGCGCGAGCCCTGGGGACTCCGCAGCACCTCCACCCCCTTCTCGGGACCCACGCCACGTCCCGCGCTCCACGGAATCCCAATGGGAATAGCGTTCTAAAAGACAAGAAAAAGGTGCAGCCGGTTGCATCCCCCATCTGCCTCATGCGGGGAGTCGAACCCCAGGCCTTAGGCGTGCTGGGTCAATGCTCTACGACTGAGCTGCACCCCCAGCCCCTGTGCCTTTTTTTTTTTTTTTAAAGCACAAACGTACATTTACATTTCTTTAGCTGTTCTTGGTCAAAGCACAGAAATAGTTCTGGATACCCAGGGAATGCAGGTAACATCCGTGGGAGCAAAAGTGGGGAGACCTACCCAGGCCAGAGGAGGAAGATTGGTTTTCCCGTGTCCCCTTCTGTCTGGTTTGGAGAAAGCAGGCTCTCTGTCCGCCATGGGAATATGACAAACACCTTTTCTCATAGCCGCATTCCTGGTCCCTTCTATGCTGTTCTTAGTACCTTTGGGCCTCTTCTTCCTCTCTTTCTTGGAGAGACAGGCTTAGCTCCAAATTCCTATGCTTTTTGAGTCGCGGGTGGTGAAAACTTATTTACTTTAACATTAGTTCTTTTTGAATCGGGCTATTGTAAAGAACCGCACAGAACTCGAGAAAACTTCGAGCCTGTATATTTTCAAATTGTGAACTTTCACCAATTCAAACATTTTATCATTTAAAAAATAAGTACGTGAATTCTTATTTTTTCTTCAGGGATCAAGTTCAGATTTTCATTGTCATGTGCGTGTTTATTAGCAAGAGAAGAAATTCAAAGCTGAAATTATTAGGAAAAAAAATGAAAGTGTTCATGAACCCCACTGTAAAGCTAACATTTGTTTAGCTCTAACTGTTCATACTGTAAATACCATTTAAAGTAAAATATTTTGCAGTTAGATGCCAGACATCTTAAGGACCTGGGTAATTTATTTAATTGTTATACTCTAATTAGCAGAACAAACGCTACACATGTTGTTTGTGTTAAATAGATTAGAGCGAAATTGCATCACAATGTAAGTCTGACACCTTAAAGAGAAGCAATTAGTTTTATGGTAGTTTTGTTTTTAATGCATTTAAAGTAAAGTAGAGGAGGTTAATTTAATGAGCGGAATGTGCCTTAAACTTGTTACAACCTCCCCGCGGTTTAGAATTTTCCTTAAAGAGCACATTTAAATTCAGGGTATGACTAGCTCACTGGTTTTCACTATCCTTACGCATTTTATTAAAAAAGAAATAGTCAGGAAATATTCCAAGGAAGTTCTTGCTTTCATTTATCAGACAATTTGGGAACAATGGAATTGTTATTTTTTTTTTTTGGAGGGAAAAATGCATTCATGCTGACTATAGCTAAGTTCTGAAAAGGAACATTTTCTCAAGATTGAGGAAAAACTTGGTGTAATGTGGTAGCCAGTTAGGTCCTAGTTGAAATATAAATTTGATCAAATAACATCTGTATTTAGACAGTGCCATTTATTTTATGCACTTACCAGTAACAATAACTGTTACCCACCAGAAAACTGGCTTAAACACTCCTAAATCAATTAGTTTTCTTTCTGCGTGGCAGGTGTCTTGCCAGTAACCAAGGTCAGCCAATATGCTTTGTAAATGAGTTATAAATGATACCAATTGTAGGGTGTGTCACTATCAATTAGTTCTCCTTGTGGGCTTCTTATTTATGGTTTTGATAGGTCTGGCTTCATTCTCAGAAACGGATTTGTTTAGCTAGCAGTACAGAACCAATCACTGTGGATTTGAACTTGTAATGCATTGCAAAATAAGAGATTTATGGTGGAACTTGAATTCCTTGTCAGTGAGGAACAGGACTGAGATCACTTGTTACAAGGAACTTTTTATAACCCCCTCACCTTCATTTCACATGTTTATGGGGACTGCCTTCACTTATGATCTGCAGTTGACCGTCATAAAGCTCTTTGTTATAATGGCAAATTCTGATAACAAGTTTGCCCCACATTGGCTCCAAATTCCACGGGAAACTGTCATAAATGGCCCGATTCATAAAACGAGTCTAGTCTCTCCTTTACTGATTTCACATTTATGGAGAGAAAGGAGTGCTCGCCTGGAAAATTATTTTCTTTCAACCACAAAGAGGGGGAGGAATAAAGAAGCCCTTGATGTGTAAGGTTTTGTAATATTTTTTGTCATTTTAGCAAAGCAGTCTCTCAAGTGGTTTTCTCAGCCAAGTATATTCATTTTGACCTATTCTAAAAATTCTTAACACTGAATTCTTAGAAATTTTACAGGGTTAAAAGGTTTATTAGTCTTGGTTTTTACAACTTGATTACAAAGAATGATGCTAATCTAATAGGTTTGAAACTGTCAATGCAAAATTTAATTTCATTATTTAAATTTGCCAGTAAAGAATTTAGAAATCTATTTTCTGATCTGTAAATATATGCCCAATACATTTTTTCATTCTGTATAATTCTTTTGTAAATGAATTGAAATAGCTAACTTCCCCAAGTTTGCA